TATCTCACCTCCCTCCCTCTATATCTCTATATCGTTATCTAATCTATATCTCTATCTCTCTCTCTACTCTTCTCTAAAAGATAACATTTAATCTTCACAAATTTTAAAAATATAAATGAATATATACATGAGTTAATTTTAATTTATATAAAAGTATATATTTATTTTATTTTTATTTACCAAATGTTCTTATGAATATTCCTTATCACCATGTCCATCCGAGTTGCTTTTTTTTATATGTAATTTTTTTCTCTAAAAATAATAAATAAGTTCATCAGCATTGAACTGTTAGAAGGGTTTTACAATAAAAATATTTTTTAAATGACTTGTCATATGTGCATGATAAATGAAAAATATAACTTTTTCATGTTTAATATTCAAATTAATTTTATCTTTATTCTTTTATCTCTTGAGATATGTTCTTAACTATGCTTACTTTCTAATTATTAACAGGTAATAATTAATTTTGTATTAAATTTATTCCTGCATAAGTATAAAATTGAATGAATAACAATTAATAATTGTATTATTATTTATTAAATAGTACTTATTTGTTTGAAAAAAAATCATTAATCCTATTAGGGAAAAAGGTGATAACAGCTTTAGAAACTAACATTTAAATATTTTTCTAATACGAAGTCAAAAACTTTTAGTTTTAAAAGTTAGATTGATAAACAAAAAATTTGAAATATTGAGTAGGTTTGTAAAGGTCAAAATTGTATCCATTGAGGGATATAGATTTGAATTTTGGTCCGTTTGAAAAAAAATAAAAATGAATCATTTGTATACCTTTAAGTCATAAAAGCATATTGAATGATATTATTATAAATATTATAAAATAAAATAATAGAAAATACAATACATCTCTTTAAAAATCATTATGCTATTTAAGAAAATCATATGCAAATTCATGCTATTTTAAAAATTCATGCTATTTAAGAAAACATCAATTGCAAATTCATGCTATTTTAAAATTCTGCATTTTAAGAAAATCATATGCAAATTCATGCTATTTTAAGAAAATCATATGCAAATTGCTATGTATTTTAAAATTTAAAGAAGTTTTGATGCCACAAATGATTTTATTTTACTTTTTTAATACCAAGCAAGTTTTGTTTTGATACTTCTTTGTCTAGAATTGAGTCACACTTATTTTTAATTAAAGTTGTGACTGAGTTAACAATATATATATATATATATATATTATCTATTTAATAAAAAATTGTCCAAAAAATTATAGTATTTAATTACATCCTAATTTCTTTTATATAAACAACATATCATGAATCATGAGAAAGACACATCAAAATAGCATTTTTAGAACCTAAATCTTGCATTCCTCTCTTGTTTGTTTTCTGATCACAGTCATGACTAGAGCCAAGATCGAACTTGCTTACATAACAGATCCTGCAAAGAGGAAAGCAACTTTCAAGAAAAGGAAAAATGGTCGAAATCTTTTCTCTTTAAATAATTTTAACTATGCTTCATGCACACGTACCGTTTGATAAAATTCCAATTTGAGCATTTTGCACCTTCTCTCTGTTCTTATATGGTTCTTGGTATATATGTTTCTGAACAGGTTTGATGAAAAAGATCAGTGAAATCACTGTCCTTTGTGGGATTGATGCATGTGCTGTAGTGTATAGTCCTGATCTGCCTAACAAGCCAGAGGTTTGGCCATCTGAATCAGAAGCCAGAAGTGTGATTTCCAAGTTCAATGGTGTGCCTGAGGCTGAGAAAAGAAAGAAAATGTTCTGCCAAGAAAGCTTTTTAAGACAGAGAATTGACAAAGGCAAAGAGCAGCTGAAGAAACTGAAGAATGAAAATAGGAAGAGGGAGATTAACCTTCTCATGTGTGAATACCTCACTCATGGAGGCAACAACCTTGACAGTAACAACATGAGTTATCTCAAGGACTTTTCATTCTTCACTGATCAAAATTTGGATGAAATTAGAAACAAAATCACTATGCTCCAAACCCAAGAGGAGACACCAGAAACCATGGATCAAGGAGAGCAGGCACAGGTTCATGTGCCAAAGACCAATTTTTCTAGAAAAATAATAAAAAAACTAAATTAGTCTGTGGATATATAACATCAATGCTGGTGATGAGAATGAGTGTTAACATAGGAAGATGTTAATGATTATAGTGGTTGGCTTAATGTATCCCTTATGTTCTTGTTGTCTAAATTTATAAAGTTTCTCTTGATTGAGTTGATCTATGTTTAGTTGCTATGTTTTTACATTTTTAATGATACAATTGAAAAATGAAACTTTGTTTGATGACATAGTTTAAGGTTTCGAAAGAAATAGCATGTTTTGTTCTAGAGAATGTCATTCATACATGTCGTTTTATCTGTCTATTTTAGTTTCAAATCTATTCCATACCCATCTAGGGTTCACAAAACTTGCTCAAGATCTAAATTTTGCAATTGGGAAAGTGGGAAATTTTGAGATTTGTTTCATTGTGAATCTTTCTCGTATGCTAGAGTTTCCATTTTCTGCAAAATTGAAAGAAACACTTTGCAAGACAAAAAGAACGAGAATACCCCACTTACAATTCAAAATCAGAAACAATTCCAATTTCAAAATCAACAAAATTTGTGAAGACTTTATATTAAAAACAATTACACCCACAATGAAATTTTGTATTTTACTAAACAAAATAAAGTAAGTAATGGTCTATTTACAGAAGAAAAAAATTACTGCTGATAAAAGATTTAGCTGAAACTAGAAAGAATTTATTGAAAAATAGAATGGTTTCTTGGTCATTTTGGTTTGGGGTGTTCATTCTATCATGATCCAAGAACAAAATATTTGTAATTACAGTGTATCTAGCGGCAGTAATGAGAAAAATTCTGTTCAATAAGTATGTGAATAACATATTTGATTTTCAGGTCCATATGTATATAAATATGAATCTATTAATATGTTTTTATGATTTAAAGAGTATTCATAAATATTTTATCTTTGTACTCTTTTCAATGTGGTCCACTATTATACTTAGGTATTCATATCAATTGAAAAATTCAAATTTGAATTCTTTAATGGAATACATTTTTGTTTATCACTCTAACTTTCAAAACTAAAATGTACTTTTAAAAAAAAAAAAATTAGTTTCTAAAGCCGCATACTACTTTTTTTTCCTGTAGAACAATATTTTTTTCAAAAAATATAATTACTATTACTATTTAATACATATTAATACAATTATTAATTGCTATTCATTCAATTTTGTACTTATGCCGGAAGAAATTCAATGCAAATTTAATTATTAGCTGTCATTAATGAGAAAGTAAGGCCATATGTCAATATATTAAAGAATAAAGATAAAATTAACTTGAATATCAACTTTGAAAAATATATTTGTCATTCATCTTTCACATATGACAAGTCACTTAAACAATATTTTATTGTAAAGGGTTAAATATGTTTTTAGTCCCTAAACTATTGGCGGTTTCTGGTTTTCGTCCCTCTTTCAAAGTAAGGTACAATTTGATCCTCATTCTTTTCGAAAACGTTCGTTTTAGTCCTCGAAAACTAACACCGTTTAAAAATTTGGTCCTCATTTAGCAATAAAATGAGGACTAAAACCAAAATTCCAAGGACTAAAACGAACGTTTTGAAAAGAATGAGGACCAAATTGTACCTTACTTTGAAAAAGGACGAAAACCACAAACGACCAATAGTTTAGGGACTAAAAACATATTTAACCCTATTGTAAACCACACCTACAATTCGATGCTGATAAACTTATTTACCACATTTTGAGCAAAAAGTACATATAAAAAACAAACTGAGATGTTAGTGAGAACTTTTCATAAGAAAATTTTGTATAGAAAAACAAAATAAATACATTTTGTATTTCTGAATTAAAATTAATTGATGTATATATACATTTATAATTTTAAATTTTTTGAAACAATTAAGTTAATTTTTTCTTTTTAGTTTTTATTTCTAAAAAAAAAGTTGTCGAAACAATTGTAATATTTAATTAGATCCTAATTTATTTTATATAAACCACAGCATCAATCACGAGAAAAAAACACATCATAGTGACATTTCCGGAACTACAATATTGCACTCTCTTTTGTCTTTTCTGGTCATGACTACAACCAAGATCGAACTTGTTTACATAACTGACAGGAAGATAACTTTTAATATATACATAGTAAAATTTATTAATAAATTAGAATTTATATTCTTGAAAAATATTTTTGTTGATAATATACTTGACAATTAATTTCATTAGTAATTTTTATTAGTAGTTTATGATTTTTATTATTAATAAATATTTTAATAAATTTATTGATAAACTAAATAACAAATTTTTCGTAAAATTATATAATATATATTTTTTATATTAAGAAAAAATGAGTGAGAAAAAAAGAAGACAGAATGAAGATGAAAAAGGAGAAGAGGAAAAAACATCACAGTTATAATTAGTTGAGGAAGAGGAAAAGTGACAACGTCAGACATGATAATGGCAACGGAGTGAAAGAAGAAAAAAGAGGAAGGGAAGATAAAAAAAAAATTATAATATTTACCGATAGATTTTATTCATGATTAGATTAATTTAAATTTGATCTTGATAGCTTAATATATAGTAATTCTAAAAAACAACTTAAACCGGTGAACAAAATGACATATAAACTAATAAGAAAGAAAAATGACATGAATATAAGCTTTTTATTTATTTATCACTACAAAAATAAACCAAAATAATTATTGTACGATGATAGACCGTAAAAGAAAAAATATTTGAACTATAATGTTATTGTTTGAACTATAAAAATGTTACGAAAATGTTGTCACAAATTTTTAAAAACTCTTCAAAGTTTTAAACTCCATTTGAATCTTTAAATATACATAAATTTTGGGAATGAAAATAGACATCTTTTTTACAAGTTTTTGTCATCCTTTTCTACACGTACATCACATAGCTTTAGTGTCAATAACATCAAAATCACCAGCATTATTATTGTTCTCATACTACACATTTGTCACACTTTTTCTTTTTATGGAAAATGAAAGTTATTACATGCAACAAAGTGTCTGTGTTGAAGGTCTACTTCAATTTTTGAACAAACATGCATTATATTCAAAATTTAAAATGTATAGTGTTCAATTTGGAATGCAATTTTAAAGAAATCTAATATGATAAAATGAAGTTTAAATTAGATTAGATTATTCTGCTCTTACTATAATAACCTTACTACTATATTCATTTCCTAGTTCCAATCTTCTCTTCCATTAAATTTCACAAATCTTTTAGATCAAATTAATTAGCAAATCTGACAATATATTTATTAAGTAACATGTTGAGCATTCCAATAATAATCTGCAAAAATTTATAGCATTTTTTGTACTTAGCAACAATAATCTAATTTAGGAATTATAGCAGATATCTGCAATTCTGGAATGTGCCATTTATAAGTGGTTGACCATATTCTTCTAGTACCTATTTAAAAGTTGCTGAATTAGTTTTCTTAAAACATGTTTAAAATGGTTTCATGCATGCAATGTAATCAATTTAAAAACGACGTATGTTTAATTTGCTGTAATTAAACTTCAACTACACATTTACTAAAAAGCTTAAACAATAAAGAAGTTCAATCAAACAACAACAACAAACAGGTTCAACCAAACAACAACAAACAAGTTCAACAAAAAACAACAACAAACAAATTCAACAAATAAGTTCTTCAAAACGAAAACTAACATGCAAAAGGTGAGTTGGTCTAAATAAAGTGTTGCCACCTGTGAGAGAGAAAGTAGAATGCGCCTATGAAGAACAAGAACACGAAAATAATCGGTCAAAACAAACGAAAATCATACCTAAAGTAGTTAATTAGCATGCATTTGTAACAAATGAAAGAAAGATTACATGTGATGGTTGTCAAAATTCGTTCCAGAAAAGTTTGAGCATAGAAGAGGGTATCACGCGTTAAGATAAAGTGAATTAATTTTCAATCTCCTGCTCAAATTTTTATTGAATTCACTAATCTTTAACGTCTAACACTAGGAAATTCGATGTTTTATATCCTTTTGACGTCTAATTATAGGGATTTCGAGGTCATACATAAATACATTTTCACCTTCACGTCAAGTATTTTCGCAAAATTTATCCAATATAACAAATTGACGTCGAATTACAATTCTAAATTACGTCTAATAATTGCATTTATTTACAAAAATGTCATCGGTCAATTTTAACGTTGGCTATTCGGTGGTTGGACGTTAAACATGTGACGTTATACGCTATTTTGCACTAGTGCACCTTTGGCAGCAAGCTATGAATGAAGAAATCCACACTTTATAGTAAACACATCCTAACAAGATTCCTAGTGGTTGCAAAAGGGTTTGTAAGATGAAAAATTGTTCTGATGGAACTATTGAGCATTATAAAGCTCGCTTAGTAGCTAAAAGATATACTCAAGAGTATGGAATAGACTATGAAGAGAGGTTTGCTCTAGTAGCTCGAGTAACCTCTATTCGTAGTCTCTTAGTTATTGCTACAATTCGAAAGTGGAAACTTTATCAAATGGATGTCAAAAATGTCTTTCTTCACTAAGATTTAATGAAAATCTCTATGCATCCTCCTTCTGGTTTTCATGCACCTCACTAGGTTTGTAAGCTTCGACGAGCTTTGAGTGGTTTAAAACAAGCCTTACGGTCCTGGTTTGTCAAATTTAGTTCCACTCTTATACAATTTGGCTTTCTTCGTAGTCCATATTACTCTACATTATTTATTTGAAGAACTGACAAAGATATTGTATTTTTGTTACTCTATGTCGATGATATGATAATAACTAGAGATGATGACTCTAACATTTCTGCATTAGAATGTTATCTCCATCAACATTTTCAAATGAAAGATTTTGGTCATCTTAGTTATTTTTTGGGTCTTGAAGTATCTCACGATTTTGAAGGCTATTATATTTCCCAAGCTAAGTATGCTTCTGACTTACTTTCTCAAGTTGATATCACTAATAGGAAAAAAGAATATATCCCTTTGGCAGTTTTGTTTACCTCGTTGTTATTCAACCTCACATTGCATACGTTGTTCATGTGTCAATCAATTTATGTATGTACCTTCATCCACTTTTTTTTTGCAGTTCTTTGGAT